TTGTAGCAGTCTCCATGTCCCTGTCTTTTTCTTTATTACAAAGACTGGGGTGTTCCATGGGCTCCTGGAGGGTCTAATGTGACCCAGCTGTAGCTGTTCTTTCACAAGTTGTTGTAAAATGAGTAATTTCTCCCTGGGTAATGGCCACTGTTCCACCCAGACTGCCTCTGTGTTGGTCCAATCAAGTCAGGGACTAAGGTAATCAATAGTGGCCCTTAGAATTGGGGGTCCTGTTGTTTTAGGGACCCTATCTGATCATCTATTTTAAGGCATTTCTCTTTAGACCCACTAGTAAGAATTACATTGAGGTCTTCCAAGATATCTCGTCCTAGGAGGTTTGTAGCAATATCTGCAATTAGGGGTCTTATTGTTCTAACCTCTCCATCAGGGTCCTCCCATTTATAGAAGTTTTTAATGATGAATGCCTGGGAGGCCCCCCCCACTCCTATTACTTGGGGTCCTGGTATCAATTCTCAGTGTGGAGGAACCTCAGACTGCTTTAAGATGGTTCTGTCAGCCCCAGTGTCAAGGAGGCATTTGAAAGGTTTATTGTCTATTTTTATGGTTAATTTTGGATGGGCATTTTCTGTAATACTGGTTACCCACAATGTTTGTGGCATCCCTCTTGTTAGTGGGGCTGAGTGCTGCCCCTGATGGAGTTTAAAGGTGGCAAAGGCTTGCCATCTCTATCATTTTTAGATCTTCAATCCTTTTTCCAGTGAAAGCCTTTTTTACAGTGGGGACAGAGGGTTTTAGGGAGTCGAGTGGCAGCTGAGTTATTTTGGGGGCAATTTTTTATCCAGTGTCCAGTTTCTCAACATTTAAAGCATTTTGAGTTGGTCTGAGTTGTGGTTATAAGGGCTTGGGCAAGGGAGGAAGCCTGGTACGTGGCAGTCCCAATGTCATGGTCTCTGGTGCCTGTAAACTTTCTTCAATTTTAGGTGGGTTTTTTAAGCACTGCTGGATGGCTGCCATAATTTGGAAAAAGGAGAGAGGAAAATTATGTTTTTCTTGGGTTTCTTTCTTATATGCCAAATGTGAAAGAAAGTTCCACACCTCAGGATCAGATATGTCTGCGGATAAGATCCAGGGTGCAAATTGGTACACCTCATTCCAAAATTTTAAGCTTTCCTCTTTTGAAATTTTTAATCCTCTAGATTTAAGCAGGTTTTTAAGAGAACGAATTTGGAGCCTTTTTTGGCGTGATACCGAGTTCCCCACTGTGAAGGGAAGATGTTATTACAGCGGTCGGACACTAGAGGGCTGAAGCGCCTAGGCAAGTTACAAGCCCCTAGGTTTGAAGGAAAAAAAAACTGCAGTTTTAAATCTTTTGTCCTGGCAGCCGCTTGAGCCGCTAGGCAGGGGTTAGCTAATTTGAATTTTCACTGACTTTGTTTTTACCTGCTTGTCTGAACACTTGAGAGGCAGAGAGAGCTGGCTGGGGGAATTCTGCCTGACTCTAAGGCTTAGGTGGAAATCCCTGGAACTTTTGGGGATTTTTCTCTAACAGTGTTCAGATAGAAAAGTGAGGAAGTGACGGTTTCCAAAGCGACGTTCCTGAAATTAAAATTTTCAGGGGATCACAGTGGCTCCCAATCACAAGACCTTACCGCATATTTGAGGGGCTGGCGGCCAACCCTAATGGTTCTTACTTGGCTGATGCGTCACCAGTTTTGATATAAAAGATATGTCTAGATAGAGGTCTTTTCGTCCACACCTGAACAGGCAGTCGGAGTCTGCTAAGGATTCAGGGAGACCTTCAGCCAACACCAGGGGGTAGCCCTGGCCAGAAAGCCTCAGTTGTCTCTCTGGCCCTAGCAGTCTCTCGCGAGGACTTCTAGACCGGAAAAGAGAAGGAGGAAATTTTAGAAGAGAGAAAGAGATTAAACTACCTTCCTGAGTGGGAAGGGTACTCACGGATTCCTGGCATTTCTGTGGGCACCAGCTCCAAGCTGGCGCGAAGTTCAGAGGCTAAGCTCCCACGTTGTCCATGAGGTTGAGAGGGTCCCAAAAGGTTTAGGGGGTCCCACGAGGTTCAGAAGCCAAGCTCCACGTTGTGGCGCCAGATATGGGGAGGGTCGCTGGACCCCCAGCGTGGTGTGCGCGGGCACCCTGGGGGTCTCCGCCACACCTGGCTAGTCCCAGCGTGAGTCTGGCCGCAAGCGTCTCTGGGCTCGGCGGCTCGGGTGCACTCTCTGGATGGGCGCCCGGGGTCAGGTGTGCGTGCCCTCTCCCGCCGTGGTTCTGGTCCCGCTGGCTAGCCGCTGGCGGGGCTGGCCAAACCTCTCTGGCTG